GAAATTGGAGCAACAATGGTTGCACCAAACAAAAAATAGAACCTGAATGAATCGGATGAAATGAACTAGATCTGGTAAAGTCAAGGGCAGATCACATCAACAGACCAGTGGAATGGGCCTCCAGTTGGAACACGGAGCAACACGCGAATTTGGGGCTGTTCACCAGTCATGGAGCAAATGACGGTCCTGACTGCATGGGTCGTGGACTAGTCCAAGAGCTCACGAAAGCTGGAGAAATCTTTTTGAGTCACGAAGCCTGATGACCCAAAAGGTGCGTAGATGATCACCAGCAAATGGAGATACACGGAGTGCTTCTTGGTAGCCAATGAAACCGTCTGGAAATTGACAAATTGGAAGAAACAATCGTGAAGAAGAATCTCTTTGTTGCAAAATGGGACACCTATAAAAGGGCAATAGTATAAATTCAAGGCTATAAGAAAGTCCGCTGACAGGTTGTCAGCCTGTGCAATAATAAAAATCTGCTCAACTAAAGTTAATTTTTGTAAATAGTGGTAAGTAGGGTCGAATCCACAGGGATTGGGGGTAAATGTTTCTTTTCAAATCCACAGTAACAAAGGGGGTGTTTTTGTGCAGAAGGTGACAATCAAAGAAATTCAAATAAAATCTAAAAAGCTACTAAAAATTAAATAACAATTTACTAAAATCAAATGAATAATAATTAAGGCTCTAGCCAAGAAATAACTTCAGCAATGGTTCACCTAATTGATCATCGATACAAAGCCAATTCCAATTATTTACTAATAAATAGGTTATAACTGTCAAACAAGCGATGACAGTCAACCCCTTCTTACTCTGTCGGTAATTAAGGTATGCCCGTTAATTATTGCCCTAATTGGAAAATAATCTTAGGTACGCCCGTAAGATTTAATTTCCCAATTGCCTTACGTTTGGAGGAGCCCTATTCTAATCAAATAACACACTACCAGGGTTATTTTAGGTTAACCCGCGTATTCCCCTGACACAAACTCAATCATGTCAGTTGTCACTATATCAAGGCAATTAAACAATTACGGATTTAATGCTCTAATTGACAATAGATTACCAAATTAACTAATTATTCGGATCCAAAACAATCAATTAATTAAATAACCATAAGTACTGAAATCAAAGAATATACGAATACCAATAAATAAAAGAAAAAGATAAAATTAAATCGATATCACAATCTTTAGGCAATCAAAACCTCCGTTGTTTTTTGACTAGACAAAGAGATTTAACTCATCTCTTGTCTACTCCTATCGAAAAGAAAAGAAAAGCAACTAAAGATGAAAGGATACCCCACTGTATTTACAAAAAAAAAAAAAAACTAAAGATAGAAAGGAAAAGTCAAAGGCTAAGCTTCCCCTCCTGACATGCGTAGGAAGTAAAAACTAAAAAAAGAAGCCAAAAGAGAAAAGTTCCCAAAAGCTAAAGGAGTCCTAATCCTCTGCAACTCCAAATCCTATCAAAAGTCCTACTCTACTTTTCTATTGTGCGGCGGCTTCGATGCCTCCCGAAGACTTCGGCCTTTTCGGTTCCTTTTCCTTTCTTGCTGTCTTCGGCCAAATTACCAAAATGGGCTCGCATCTCCTCGTTTCAAAAATGCCCCTAAATGCCTTTTATTTGAATTCTTTTTCGATGACTGTCAAATTGGCCTTGGTTATAGTATTTTCGTTCTACTCTCTGAAATAAATGCAAATTACGAATAGTGAGTAGAATCTATTTTTAATTCGGCCTGTCTAACGAGTTATTTGAGGTGTTAAATTTTTAGAAGTATAAGGTTAATTAAGGAAAACATATAAATGTAAGGGGATTAATTATGGAATAGTGTATAAATGCAAGAGAAGGTAATAATTATTAGTGTGTACATATATATCGTAGATTGGGTACAGTGTAGGTATGTTAACGAGTGTCCATTGGATACCCATTACAAAACCCGTTTTAATTCTGTAAATTTTTTTTTGGGAATGTTTTGCGTATTGTGATAACGGTAAATCTTTTATGCAATAGCGGGGTTAATTGCATGTTACATGTATAAAATTTGGTATTCAAATTTAAATTAAAATGATGTAACATGTATTTAGATTCGTCAGCGTACACATGGACAATGTAGGAAATATTAATTCTTATGATAAATGAAAAGTGATAGAGAGTGTTTGGATATGGTCATTAAAAGATTTCATGAAACAACAATTGAAATCTCGAGGAGCAGAGTTTTGTTTTTTGGTATCATTTGTGGCATTTCTTTTACTTCAAAAAGCTTTTTCCACTTGTGTTGGGCTTTTTTTTTTTTTTTTTTTTAACAAATAAGAACTTGTGCTGGTTTCTGCTTGCGTTAATCAGCCACTTGTGCTTTGTCGAACGTTAACTTTAATTCTCTCTAACTTGGAAATCTATATAATAGCTCCTCATGGAGTTTGTTAAAGTGTAGTTTGAATGGAACACGTCTAAATTAGCAGTTGCTTGCAAAATCTTCGAATTGCCTCTTTATAAAAAAAATACATCAGAAGATCTCTCTCTCGTTTTCTTGTTATGTTATTCGAACAATCGAGACAGAGGCAAAGCAAGAAAAACTCTAGTAATACAAAATCACAAAAATCTGAAATTCTTTCAGCAATCTATGGAGAATTCCAGCAAGGTAAATCCAGTGTTTTGAAAAATTAAATCAAACCGGCTGGTTCGATCGATTGAATGGCAAATTGATCGTGACACTATTCTGATTCATTAATAAATTCAAAAATCAACTGAATCAGTCAAAAATCTAATTTTTTTTTTCTTTTTTGTAAATTGTCATTGGTGACCCAACAGGATCATAAGGAATCGACGGGAAGTGAACCACCAACCCATAGGATCGAAAAGAGGTCACATTAAGGGTCCGTTTGGTAGGACTGAAAATATTTTCCTTGGGAAAACCTTTTCCATCGAAGTCATTTTCCTGGAAAATCACTTCCTTTCCCATAATTTTCCAGTGTTTGGTTATTAAGTGAAAATATTTTCCAAATTCCTTTTTTCATAATTTTCCGGTGTTTGGTTTGTCACTGAAAATATTTTCTGATATATTTGTTGATATGTTGCAAATATTTTTTTACTCTCAAAACATTTATTTCATTACAAGTTAATTTTAGTTTCTATCCATTATAATCAAATTATCATTTCTATAAAATAGTTATTCATATTACACCATGAATTCTTAAATGAAATTATTAATGATACTAATGAATTGGCTGGGAAAGAAGAGTTAAAAATTGCCTGTGTTAGTTAACCAACTATAGATGTAAAAGATATGCCGCCTACCAAGTCATATTTAGCATTGGCATAAATATCTAGAGATTGGGCTAACATACAAATGAGAGCTGCCGAACAAAGAAGATTCCAACTCTGCTTTTTGAATCTCAAAAACATTTGAATTCTTATGTTATACCTAATGTAGAAAACTGTTGGATTTGTCTTCAATATACTCAACAGATTTTAGCGGAGTTCTTCTACTAGATGCTGCAGATACCATCTAAAATGCGATACAAATGAGTCGCTGTAATTGTCAAGAAGCAGCTACCTACCAGACTCTTGGAAAACATAAAATTGCGAAAAGCAGGAAGCAAGGAGAAAATACAAGTTTCCTAACGTTTGCAACCAACCAGGCTACAGATACTCATTTGCTGCTTGTGGTCATAAAAATTTCACCCTCACAGACCAAGTCACATCCAACATAGGCTTTTCCTTCCATCTTTGCTATTCCAAAGCGTTTCTGCAGCTTGATGAGTGTCATTCTCATGACCAAAGTGTCTCCTGCAATTACTGGCTTCCTAAACCTGACTTTGTCAATTCCAGCGAAGAAGAAACAATTATTCTGACAAGGCAATTGCATAATTCAGTTCACGTACTTTATTCGACGCCCCAATCTTTCTTGAACCTCTCGAGAGAAATCAAACGAAGTCTTTGACTCTTCGCCATGAATGCTTTTCCTAGCTTCTCATTTTGCACCAAATGCTCGAATACCAAGTCCAGAAATTCTTCGCTATAGCCTTCTATATTCATAATCTCTTCATGTAGTTGGTTGACATCAAGCTTGTTTGCACTAATTTTGTTCAAAGCAGCTGCCACTTCTCCAAGTTGTTGAGACATCTTTTCAATGTCTTCATTGCTGCGATTTCTTTTACGATGTTGTTTGGTTCCCGATGATGTTGCTCTCACTTCTGAGGATCTTGCACTAGTCACATCCTTTTGTTCTACACTTGTCTCTTCACTTGTCTCCACACTTGTCTTAGGAACAAATGGAGTTTCCAAATTCACATCGACAAATGATTTTGCAAAAGACCCGGTGGCCAGATCTTTCCCAACCACAACAGCCATTTCATCATACAACTCGATTTTATTCTGGATATACTTGTCATGACCTGGATTTTTCTGCGTAATCATAAACCAGAAATTTCAATCAACAATATAACAAATCCAGGTTTAGTGCAAAAATTCAAAAGAACAAGAAGTCCTCATTTGACATTCCTAACTCCATTAAATTACCTGGATATAGGCATGATACACACTAGGACTGGCCGTTATCATCTTCAAAGTATCATCCCAGCCAAATCCACTTTTTTCACGAATTTTTACTATGGTGGACCAAGATGATCGCACTGTTCTTAGATGATTTTCCACATGGTCTACCGAGCACGTAACCCCAAACTTATCTTTCATGGCATCTACCACACGTGTAAATGAACTTGATTTAAAGCTATTGTTAGGCCTATTCCCAAGTTTCACCTCATCGGCAAGAATCTCAAGCATCAAACGCTCCATAGGTCTTGACCACCTAAACTGTTTCTCTCCCTTCTTGCCCATCTTCAAAAAATTAATCAATTTCAATAGTCATCGCCAATAAAACAAACTTATAACAATTATAGCCAACTATTTGCAGAAACATTAACAATTGCAACAAGAATGAAAATCATGACCCTGGAGAGCATAAGTTAATTCTCAATGGACAATCAAGAGATGCAAGGTTAATCATATAGGCAGAAGTTTTGTAAAAATTCTGCAATCTTTCAATGATCAGGCAGATTTATTCATATATATGCAGGCAGAACGCCGACACTTCTTAATAGATAAATCACTCATATAGAGCCAAAGACAACCTTACATGGCATCCAACGAACCAGCATTATCATAAAACAAAACTAAACTAAAAAAGAAACTACAACCACCATCTAGATTATCTACTTTGTCTTCTTTGCATGTAATCTACATACATAGCATGTGCAATTGCGTCTCTTTTCCTTGCCCATTCTCTATTTTCTGCTCGTCTCTCACTTTGTGTTTGATAAGGCTGTGTGTAAGATGCTTGTTCAGTCAGAACATTTGGAGTTTCAGATTGTTCCTCTTGAATGACCTCTTCCATGAACATGTCATTTGGAGCTATACCCATAATGTGATTATGTATGATACAACATGCCAGAATCACATCTACTTGGGTTTTAAAATCCCAAAAAGGATCATTATCCACCACCTTAAATCGTTTCTTTAAAACACCAAAGCCTCGTTCGATGGTTGTTCGCAATGAGGAGTGACGAAGATTGAAAAGCTCTTTTTCATTTTGAGGGGGATTGTCATCATACTCCTTTAGGTGATATCGAACTCCAGAATAAGGAGGAATGAAACCGTTGCGAATGCCATATCCAGCATCTACAAGATAGTACTTGTCTAAAATTGAAAAAAAAAGTTACTTTTGCCTAATCTAACAATGTTTTGCATAATTATACGACTCACATAAATTAAGACAAGTACCTTGCAGTACTTGTAGACCCCTTGGTCTTGTAAGAGCATCTTCAAGAACACGAGAATCGTGTGCCGATCCTTCCCAACCAGCAAGCACGTATGAAAACTTGAGGTCGAAAGAAATAGCAGCTAACACATTTTGAGTTGGGTAACCCTTTCGACCTCGAAATTTTCCTTGAATTTCAAGGGGTACACTTGCAACAACATGTGTCCCATCTATAGCCCCTACACAATCCTATTTTGTGATATCAATTAGATATAAAATAATTTCTACTATTTGAGTTAATTAATTTTTATACAAAGAACTAGACTTACAGCAAACCAGGGGTAGTATCTTCGACTATTACGGATCTCTCGTGGAGTCGCACCATTTGGCAATTGTATTAAATCTGGATATAGTTTCAATATGGCATCAAGTACAATGGAAAAATAGCGGTGTATGGTTTCAGTTGACCTATACAAGTACCCCCCAACCACTCGAAACCTCAAATTATAGCCAACTATTTGCAGAAACATTAACAATTGCTCTCTTACTGACATATGAATGGTAGGTTGTAATAATCCTCTAATGGTGAGAGTATTTAGTAATTGGAAAAATGTAGTTTGGTCCATTCTAATTTGGTCTATACAATACGAACTACTTCCATATAATATGCTATCCATGTAATCCTCTCTAGCTCGCTCCCTATTAACATGAGGTGGTTTAGGTATAACAACTGGAGTTTTATAGACTTCAAGAGCTGCATATCCTGCTGCTAGGACTGAAGTGGCAGCACCAATTACAATAGCATCCTCATCATCATCACTACAGGGATCCATCTATGAAAATTCACGTAGCAGTAGACTATTAGTAGTGTACCAGAAAAAGCTAGAGTAATGCAGGGGTCTCAATTGCAGAGTGATGCAGGGGTCTCAAATGCTCCTCAAAAGAAACTGATTGATCGTTCATGGGATATCTTGGGATTGACCTTTTAATTTAGAAACATATTATATCCTAGAACATTTTGGGCATCCATCAAATGCAGAGACAATCCAGTCTTAATTACTAAACACTGAAATGCCAAGTGAGGTACTAGTGCTATCACTAACAGACGGTAAAATGCAGAGAAAGATAATGCAACGAAACTTCAGAGGTGCATGGCAATTAGCAACCATCTTCCTGGGCTCATTCCTTGCTATATCAACGACGTTATTATATCTTTCCGATATACATGAAAAAAAAGTAGCACATAAACAGAAGTGCCCTGCAGGTGTTTAAAGAAGTTTCAGATAAAAATGTCTCTGTCTTACCTGTTCAGCAATATTGAGATGCGGTCCACTTTCTATAGCCCAATAGAACTTAAGCTATATTCTGCAATTATCCTAGAGATTGGTAGGTTACACTCCTGAAGGTCGAGGAATGGTTATGAGCTATCTGAAACTCAGCACTGGTAAATGGCAATCCTCCCATAACCTGCATTCTTTTTTGTTCCGGTAGTCCTCTCAACAAACAAAAAAATGCTACTCTTCATTATAAGTAATATCTATATGCAGTGTGCATACATGTGTGTGCGTGCCTGTCATTTTCATCCAAAATACGGTACTTTATTCCTGAAGAATGCATTCATGCTAAGTATGCTTTATGCCAAAGTCCAGTTCTATTATTTGTATTGTTTTACCTACGAAGGATATATCTTGGAAAGCAATTACTGCATGATAAAATTACAATACCAAGGGTAATGCTACTCTTCATTATAAGTAATATCTATATGCAGTGTGCATACATGTGTGTGCGTGCCTGTCATTTTCATCCAAAATACGGTACTTTATTCCTGAAGAATGCATTCATGCTAAGTATGCTTTATGCCAAAGTCCAGTTCTATTATTTGTATTGTTTTACCTACGAAGGATATATCTTGGAAAGCAATTACTGCATGATAAAATTACAATACCAAGGGTTCTGTGTGAAACACAAATAGTAAGACGCATCCAAATATATAGGTTCAACAAAATACTAACAGAGGAAAGATAAAGCTCGGGAAGATGCCCTGCTTGTGTTTCATTTCGTTTGAGGAAAGATTTCAGTATATTAAGACAGAAGTATTTCCACGGTTATATTCCCTTTTCAATCAAGCAGCTACGGCAAGAATCAGCCCGTGGCTTCACAAACTCAATGAATTCACTAAAACTTTTACAAATGGTCTAAAACCCCCAAAACTCAGCAGCCAAATTAATTCATTAGCATCAATCAAATCAGATTTAACCCTAATCAGGTAAGAACAAACTAAAACAAAAGCTATTGTAAGAACAAACGCATCCACACATGACCGTTGATATTGGCAGCTTTTAAAAATGAGAGAGAGAGAGAGGGAGATGATCTGTTACCTCCGAAATTGGGTCTTTGTCGGAGTTGGAGATGCCGCCTGCGAAGAAGGAGGGATTTGTTTGCTGATGAGATGTCGCCGGAGGCTTTTGGTTGGACTGGAAGCTTTTATTTGCCGGAGATGAGGAGATGTCGCTGCAAAAAAGAAGACTGCTTTTCAGGAAGGAAAATAACTTCACAAAGACAGATGAGGAAGTTGTTTTCATCCGCTGGGTGTAATTGATTTTCTATCGGAAATTATTTTCCCAAAATAATTGACAACCAAACAAAAGAAAATATGGAAAATGTTTTCCGGAAAACCTTTTCCTTCCAAACAAACAGACCCTAAGTGACAACTTTGAGGTTAATTCTGGGATTAGGTTTATAAAACAACAAAAGTCTGATTCAGGCTGTTGAAAAAAGACAAATTGCCTCAGGGTTGAAAGGGTATTGGGTGGTAGTATCCCACTTAGCAGCAGGTCCCCCCTATAGGTACATTTGTCCCACATCGGGGTTGGGGTTGGGTTTGGGTTGGGATATAAGTCCCTGGGATTGCCTCAAGAGTTGCCGGCTTTTGAGGTTAATTCTGGGATTAGGTTTATAAAACAACAAAAGTCTGATTCAGGCTGTTGAAAAAAGACAACTTTGATAGAAGATAAAATTTGAATTCTTCACCTCCCATCTATAAGGCATGTTGTGGCCAACTACTTTAGATGTAATTAGTTAGTCAAAACCTAATTGAACAGGTCAAAATCGGTAAAAACGGACTTTCGAATTGGTTCATTCTAAATTTTTTTCCAAAAAAAAAAATTTGGCTCATTCTAAATTTTCCTTTTTCTTTTAAATTTTAAAGTCATCTAATTTAGATAATAAATTAAAAAGGGAAAATGATCGGTTTCATCCTTCACATTTCACACAAATATTCTTTTCGTCCCTCACTTTAAAAACGAAACAATTTCGTCCTTGACATTTAAAAACTGAAGTTCTTACATCCCTGAACCCAAATTTCAATATGAATCAAACCACCAATCAACCTGATTACAAATTTTGGGGGTGTAATTGGTAGATCAGTTGGTTAACTCAACTTGATATTCATGTAAAATTTAATGAACCAAAAATAAAAAATAAAAAATTATAACATAAAAAAGAAAGATTAATCTTTCCTACATTATCATTTTATACACTGACGATTTTATGTACCGCCATATCATTTCAATTTAAATTTAAACACCAAATTTTATATTTATGATATACATCTAGATTCGCAAGCGGATATACTAATGATGTATAAAAAGATTTATCCAAAAAAAAAAAAACTCTACTATTCCAAGATAAAGAATGGCCTTTTATGTTATAATTTTTATTTTTTTGATTTACTAAATGTCATGTGAATATGATGAAATTGATAGAGTGATTTATCAATTATATTTCCGAAATTTATTACTAGGTTATTGAATGGTTTGATTCGGATTGAAAATTAGGTTTAGGGATGTAATAGCTTTAATTTTTAAATGTCAGTGACGAATTTGCTTCATTTTAAAAGTGAGGGACGAAAAGAATATTTTTGCGAAATGTGAAGGATGAAATAGGTCATTTTCCCAATTAAAAATTTTAAAAAAACATTTGATCGAATTAAACCGGTTGAACCAATTTGCATCTTGAATCGGAAATACATTCAGTTCACTGAATGGTTCGAATTTAAAACACTGGGTAAATCATCACATCGCATAATCACCTGCAACATTTTTTTAATTTCTTTTAAGAAAAGAAATAAGTACTGAGTTTAGTGCTGTGCTTAGTATAGTAAATCACTTTATTCTAGGTACTTTTTTTTAAGCTAATGTAACGTAACCTAAATTATCACTCAACTTTTTCAGATACAATTCAAGATAGTGGAGCAGATGTCTCTGTTTTAATGGGGTGGCACCTACCTCCACGTCATCATGCGTGTCCTTTTGCATTCATATGGCAAATCAACCCCTATCTTTTTACAGTTTCGATGATTTTCATATAGTCCAAATTCTTCTCGTGTCCCACTTTCATACCAGCATCACCACTTGCTCTTCCCAATTCGTATCTGAGTTCAGCACTCAAAATCTTCATCCGATCTCCCCAAAATTCCAGCCACCATGCCTTCTACCCCATCTCCATCAGAAGATAAATATCTCCATGACCTTCTGCAACTCGCCCGTCCTTTCCTCCGTGGAGAGCTCGAAAACGTCGACAAAAACCTTCCTTCTCTAGTCTCAGTCCTGCGCTCAGTTGGGGCAGGCGAGTGCTGGCACAAGCATGGAAGTTTTCTTGAACATTTGGTTGATATATATCGCATTCTCAAGCTGTGGAAAGCCCCTGATGCTGTTTGCCTTTGTGGGCTCTTTCACTCTGCTTATTCCAATTCCTATGTCAATCTTGCCATCTTTGATCCTTCCACCGGTCGGGATGTAGTTCGTTCCCACGTCGGAGAAGCTGCTGAGAGGCTAATCCACATGTTCTGCATCGTCCCTCGTCAGCCTTTGATCCATGATGATCTTCTATTTCATTATAACGATCAAGAATTGGTCGAACACCTCAAGTTTTCGGAGATTTCTCTGAGGAATGCGAAGGAAAAAGATTTGTTTAACGAGGAGGAAAGTTGGAGACGAAAACTCAACTCTGTTCTGCCTGCTGATGGGGTAGTAGTGAAGCATATCAAAACAGCCGAAGAAGTTCCGGTTTCTCGAAGATTGGTAGCTGTGTTTCTCCTGATGACGATGGCAGATTTTTCCGACCAGCTGTTCGGTTTTCAGGATGTTTTGTTTGAGAATTCCAATGGCCGTTTAGAATTTTCAGGCAATAATTTCTATGGTCTATGGCCAGGTGATGGCAAGCCAGGATTATGGCTGAATTCAATATCAAGAATGGGTGCACTTCACACTTTGATTGTGAGAGAAGAGGAGATTCTCCTTGAGCAAAGGAGAAGAAATAATGGAGGGGTTATTGTGTTAGCAGATGATAGAGATGAAGAGCTTGAGCTAGTGATTCCACCTGTATTTCAGAACTGCACAAGAGTCTTGGATGCAGAAGAGCAGAAAATTGGGAGGGAGCTGTATTGGGAGGGTGTTTGTCAAGCAGAAAAGGTTGGGTTGGAGAGAGCTGTGGAGTTGTTGATAAGGGCAATTGAGAGGAACCCTTTTGTTGGAGAGCCTCATGTGGTTTTGGGTCAGATTTACTTGAGCAAAGGGAAGTTTGAGGAGGGTGAAAAAGAAGCTGAGAAGGGGCTGAGAATGATTTTGGAGTGGGGAAGTCCTTGGGATAAGAGGATGACTTGGGAAGGATGGGTTGCATGGGCTAGGGTTTTGGTGATGAAGGGCAAGGAAAAATCATGGCCCAATACTTCTTGGGGCATCCTCAACTTGGGACTTGTTAAGTGAAGAGTGTCTGGATTGGATAAGATTGATCACTACTATGTTTCTTAGTAACTAGTATTAATCTTGAATATGGCACGACTAAATGTTCAAATAATGTTTGTATCTTGTCATTTTATCAATAATATATTAGTGTTCTATAAGATTACCAAGATTATTTGGAAATGTATTGTTTGCAAATATTCATGTGTTTTTGAAGTGAACTTGAACTCTTTGAGCAAATCTTAAATCAATTGAATTTAAGTAGAAAAAATAGATCCCAAGAATATATGCTTCAAATACTTTGTCCCAAAATTACCAAAATTACCTTTACCTTTTGTCTCATGTATCTAAATACGTATTGATGCATTGATAAATCTAAGCACATCTTTGACTTGTTGACTGAGGGAAAATTTAAGCAAACCTTTGACTTGTTAGCGAGGAAATCGCTTCAAATCCTTTGTCCTATCAATCTAAGCAAACCTTTGATTTGTTGATTGAGGGGATCATTTCAAATCTTCTATCTCGAAATTACCTTCTGTCCCATGTTTACAAAATTACCTTCTATCCCGTCTAGCTCTTGTTTATATAGCTTCTGTATAAATATAGGGTATAAGATAATTTCGAAATTGAAAATTTGAAGCGAGGATTATATCATCTTCTTATGTATACCTGACAATTGGATGAGTTGAAGGAATTTTGGGAGGATTGATATTGGGATTTTACTTAAATGAGCTATACTCAACCCGCCTAACTTTAGATTGAGTTGATTTTTGGTTGGATGATAATGGATCATCTCAAAACTATGATCCAAATATGACCCAACATATTGATTAATACATTGTGATACATAAATTCTCTCTTATACATTTACACACACAACAAGATTTTTTTCACATATATAAATACATTTTCACATACATAAATATATTTTCACACACTAACACACTTTCACACACACAAACCCACACTCATTTCTTAAACTCCTTGGAAACACATCATAAAAAGAATAATATTTTATATTGCTTGTATTGCGAATTTAGATAATAAATTGTACATTTAAATAGATTGACTAAAAAATTTATTTACTTTATACGTTTTAATACCACTAATTGATTGAAACTTTTTTTTATCACAACTTATTTAACACTTCTGCTATTCGTATTTGTTCTATTGTAAGTTGTAATATTCTATATATTTAAATTATTGAACGCTAGATTATTTTATGCTAAAAAATGTAATTAAGAGACATGTAATTTCTTGTATTATAATATTGATGAGGAATTCTTAACAATGAAATAAAACAAATGAAAGAAAAGTAAAAGAATGCAATTAGAACAAATTTAAAATTCTATTCTAGGTACATGAAATATTAACAAACAGAGCAGTAAGTAACAATCGAAGAACAACAATAAAAAAAAGGGAGGAAAACAACATACTCTTAAAAGGCATAATAAATTATTATAGATGTTGAGCAAGTTTAACTATTGTTGTAAAAGTAAAATAAGCATGAGTTTTTATTTCAAGTTTCTTTTTTCTTTTAAATAAAAATTAAAAAATTTGATTGAAAACATATATATGAGAATTTT